TGACGAGGAATGTAAACAACTTTTAGGAAATATTTACTGTAATGCCGGACAGAACAAACGTAATGCAGCCCAGACCAAAGGTCACCAATCAAAATGTGTATAGTGTCACCAATAGCATGTCACAGCATGGACAGTGTCTTCAGTGTCACCAATAAGAGTGTGTGCAGTGTCTACAGTTTTTTATGCTTGAGACTTTTGACCAATTGTGTTGTGGCACGATAGTGTACAAAGAGTATAAAAGAAACACTTGAGAGCAATAAACAGCTTCCTGTTCACCTTACACCTGGACTACGTCTGATATCTGTGTTGCTTTGGCCGTTCCGACATTATCAGCGACATATACGTATGAAAAAGATCAGTAGTTTTCTATCCATTTCACTGTGTGGATCTTCTATACAGGAGAAAAATATCCCAGAGTTAAGCTTACTAGAAGCACCCTTGCTATTCTAGGCTATTTTTATTACAAAGAGTCCACAAATCCCAGGGAGTGTCAATATCAGTCTGATTTCTAGACTTTTCAAAAGCATGTCTTTAGCTTAACTATAACCATGGTTTTTCATGCCTTTTTAATATTCTGTGCTTTATGAACTTTGACTTGTTTTTCATGTGTATTCATTATACCAAGACACTTTATGTTGCTTTTCTTCTATCACTTTGCTCATTAGTACCATTTTCCTTTGTGATTGAAGGAACATCATCATCTTTGCTTGTAGTAATTCAAAGCAAGAATATGATACTGCATTTGAAAATGCAGGTCTTCCTGACACAATTCTGGCTGCTATGTGGTGTATTTTGTCTTCAAACATTAGCGCCCCAAGGCACATGTGTGGCTGAAACTTGGGTATGTGTATTTCCTTTTGAAATACATCCTTTCATTTTGTTTGCACTGCTAATTCACAACAGGGTGCAGAGTCAGGATTCCTGAGCGCAGAAATAAGGACTGATCACCGTTCTTTTATTTCAGCATCTTATTGACAGACATGTACATTTTGTTTCCGTAATTATTGTAAATTGTAGACTTCATACATATTGACAGATTAGTATTGTACTAGACTATTATAGAAAACTCTAATTTAGAGACTGATTTGCATCTATTTGGCTTTGCATCTATTTTGCTAATCTATTATGAGGGAAATACCTCCTAAATAACAAAACTGGTAAAAAAAATATATCCATTGAAGTACCATGCTTGTTGGTATATACAATGTAGATTAAATGAAAAGTATTTCAGATGAAAACCCTGAGATTAGCTCAATTGGTTAAAGCACAGTGGTAACAAGCCATGGTTGTGGGTCCATTCACTTATGAGTTGGACTCGATCCTTGTGGGTCCCTTCCAACTCAGAATATTCTGTGATTCTGTGAAAATATGTAACTCCTGTGACTTCACAGAAATTAAGTGGGTGCTTAAATTCAAGAATACAAGTAGTCCTACCAAGTCTCAGATTTAGCTAGCTTGAGTACTTGCATTGCTTTAAATACTAGTTACATACATAGGAAACTGAGAATGCTTAGAACTTTTAAGATGTGTTCAGCTTTCCTTAGAGTTAGGATGCTACTTGGACTCAGATGCATATGTCTCTAGAATTAGAGTGTATTTTATCCTGGGTTAGGACGAAAGGCATAGAAGTTGTTTGCTTGGGCCCATTTTTATTATTAGAAAAACGAACAGAAAGATAAAATTAGCAAAGAATTGTTTTAAAACCAAGTGTAAACATAAACACCCCTCCCAAGCCTTTAACAACTGAGTAGATAAAATTACATCTCAAATACCCATCAAATAATGTTGCCTTCACTTTCCCTTTGTGAAAATTATATTCTTCAAAAGTCAAATAATTCTATTTTTCTGTCTTCAGCCTTGAAAGCGCTTATATATGTTCTTACATTTCAGACATCTCAATGTTCTCCTGTAAAATTTATTCTTGGGAAAAGATATGCAGGATAAGTTTTGATGAAGAATTACCTGAAAGAATATTTGAGCTATATTTTACAAATTTCCCTCCTACCTGCTTCACTCAATACCCATGCTTCATTATATGTCATAAGATATTCTTCTGTATTATGCCATAGATCTGTCATAGAAAGCAAGCACTGTTCATAATTATCTTTTTTTATTATTGTTACTTGGCAACATTAATGCAAGGTCTTCATTGGAACATCTGCCATACACAGGAATCTTTCTGTACTAGCATATTTCAGATATTTGCCTGAGGGTTGCTGCAGGAGAGTCACATTTTCTCTGTAGGAATCTTATTTGTCACTCAGCAAAATTAATCACTATTATGTCACCTGAATTTTTCTTTCAAATATTAGTTTTGACATGAGTGGCCTACGACAGATCTTGTTAGCCTACGTTTACTTTTTTCATGCCGGTATTGTTATAATTATCCATTTAGGATTAAAAGACTTCTCTTCTTCTTTATTTTTTTCTTAAATTTTTTCTTGACAGAGAAAACTGTCAAGATTTACAGATCACTCTTTATTCAAGATTTTTACTGAACTCACTCCAATAATTAATTTTGAGCTATCTCTAGATATGCAACCCTGCAACTTCTCTTTCCATTAAATTGAACCAGTCAGTACGTTTTGTGGATATACGCTGAATAATCCCCTACTTGAATGGCAAAAGTTAAAATAAATACTATTAAAATGTGCTCTCCTACAAGCCTTCTATATTTTTTCATTAAAGGTCTGATTGTTAAAACTGATATTCATGTCCTTAGTAATTAAAGAAGACATTGCTCAAATATGCAAACAATTATGCCTATACTTCTCCTGCAAAAAATATGCTATGATAAAATAGAAAGTGATCCTTGATCAGGACACTATCACTTGAAGTCCTGTGACTATTTGAGAGAGGAGAGATGTTTAGAAACATGGATTTCAGTCCTGATTTATATGTAAAAACTTGCTAAACAGTAATCTGGAGTAACTAGACAGATTTTTTTTTTTTTGGTGTGGCTATGGATAATAAAAAAAAATCATACCAGATTGTTGCTTGTTTCATTTTTTAGAAAAAGAAAAGATAATGACTGTGATTGTCATTTATAATTTCCATTAAGAGGTCCTAATAACATATTTTGTGTTTTGATGATGGCTAAATAAAAAATTAAAAAAATAAAATTAATACTGTGGTTATATGAGAACATGTAACCATTTTACAGAATTACAGAATCACAGAATATGCCAAGTTGAAGGGATCCAAAAGGATCATTGAGTCCAACTCCCAGGCCCTCACAGGTTTATGCCCAATTTGTAATGTCTTTCTATTTTTCCTTTTTTAATTATGTTACTGATGTCACACATGCATTTTGAGTATTACATAACATTTCAAATGGGCTTTGGAGTCTCAAAATCAATGTACAGTCCTTTGCCCAGCCTGAACATGAAGACGAAAAAATGAGAATCAAGATTTCTGTAGTTCTTATAAGATAAAATATCTTCATTAATCTGGTTGACCACAGTATATCCTATAAGGAAGTTTTTGGTATAAACAATAAATATTTACATGCTTTGGGAAAAATAATCTCCAGTTCAGTTCTCCAGTTCTCTTTATTTCACTTGCATAATGAAAGGATGAATTCTACCCTGCCTGCCATCTCAGAGGAGAAAAAAAAAAAAGAAAAAAAAAGACCAAAAGCCTCTCTGAAGAACAGAGAAAAATATACTAAATGTTTTCCTCCTCCTTTTCTATCTGTGTTTGCACAGCTGATGTATTGAGGCAACTCCACTGGAGATGTAAGCACAATAGGAAGCCACTCTAATAATTGTACCAGATGCTTAAAAGCTTCTTCTCAAAGTTTTGTTAAGAATTTTTTTTCCTCCCTCTGAGGAGAGAAAGGCTTGCTGTACTCTCAATAGGGAGCAGTGTCTTTTTACTTACTTATGGAGGAAAGTAATGCCTTAATCTTAGCTTTTGTTGCTATATGGCTGCTCTCTTTTATAGTAGAACCCAAAAACATAGTTTCAAGATCTCATGTGTAGGTAATTCCCTCCTTTAGCTGACACCAGAAGTAGACATCTCTGACAAAATACATTTTTATTTAATAGCAAACCAGGAGGAATAGGAGGTCCTTTTATGAATCTTTTTAGTTTTCATTCAAATAGATGATAAGAAAGCTTTTTAATTAAATTTTGATTTAAAATGATTGAACTCAGTTTGAGTCAACTTTCAGATTATAATTGTCAGCTACAGGATAAATAGACATGTCCTCATTGCAATTTTCGATGGCATACTGCACGACAGTAGACATATATAGGTAGACCACTGTTCTGTTTCTCAGGCTTTAAATACTAAAAAGAAGGAATCTCAAAACAACCTGAGGTCTGAAAGAATACTGTTTTCTTAAAACATGTGATTAGAGTCTGATACAACTCTTTAATGCCCATTGGATCACAGAATTTTTCTGTCCCTAAGTTTCCCTCCATACAATCCTGATGGCAGCTTCCTTCTGATTAGTCCTTCTGTCCTTACAGTACACAGCCCCCACCAGTACACCTCATGCCACCCGCTCATGCTGGTCATTGCCTGGAGATAACTGAGGAACTAAGGACACATTTCTGCTTAACAGGGAACCTGAGCAATTCACCAAGGTAACTTTGTAAGAGCTGTCTTTGGAAAGTTCATGACATTTTGTCTTTCAAACCAAATATCTACTTTTTTTTTTTTTTTTGCTTGAAAGCTTAAACAAGCATGAAGAGATGCAAATACTTGTCTGTCTGATCTTTCTTCCTTTTTATATAGCTTCGGTCTAACTGTGAACATCTTTAATATTTTAAACTTTTAAACCAGCACTGTGATCCATTTTTCCTTTTCTTTACTGATTCACTACATTGTGAAAGCTCCAAGTTTCAACTGCTCTGTGACAGAGACCGGAAAAAAATCATAAACCCATGGAAAATAAGGTGGGGATTGACTCCAAGGAACTACTTGTTACCAGTGTTTTTCACCATTGTTATTTATTTCCACCAAAACCAAACACACTGATGCCACTGGACTACTTAGATTAAGATATTGTTTAATACAAGCAAGAGGATTGTGGTCTGCCTGCCTAAAAAGTACAGTACATGGAACAAGACCGAATTCACAAAGGACTGCATAAAGTTTAACTTTCACAGGCTAATGTTAACCCCATATCTGAGAAAGTGAGGTGGTGAAAAGCTGGAAAGAACATTCTAGTCTGGTGGGAAGGATATGATGGAAGGTTTTTTCTCACTGAGATTAGAAAATTAATAAAGTGACTTAGGCTAATCTTTACCAAACAGGAACAGTGAAATAGTAAAAAAAAAAAAAAATCAAACAAGAGGCTCTGTGTTTAGAAATCCTGAGCACCTAGGAGTACTTACTAGCCATGTCTGTGATAGCCATTGAAAAACACTGGAGAGAATACTCAGGCACTTTAATTTAATGCTTTATATCATTAAAATGCAAGTACAATCCATTGGAGAAGTCTGGACTTTGCCAGCTTTTTAACAGTTCCCAGGAATGTTTGGGTAACGCCATGGGTAAGGGACCGTTCCCAACAGGCAACTTAGGTCAGGCCACCCTGTTCTGGACAGCCTAGTCTCATAGCTGTGGGGGTGGGGGCTGCTCCATGCCAATTGCCTTTAGTTCCAGAGAACAGCCTTGGTACGTTTGATTTCTTAATATGTAGTCCAGCCAGCTGATGGGGAAATTTCCAGATGCCTAATAATTTAGAAAGTTCAATTTCCTTAAGTTGAATGTATGGATTTCGGGCCTAATTTTTAAAAATACATTTTTAGGACCTATTTTAAAAAATATATTGGCCTGAATAACTGAATAAGTACAGGACAAAGACTTCTTCCTTAATGCAGGAGGAAACTTGATGGCTAGGACACATGCCAGATGCCAGCTGCCAGCTGGATCACTCCTGAGCACTGTACTGGCTTTCCCCTACTCTGGCTGCTCAGTAAATGCCCAGAAGTGCTCTTTCCATTGCCCATTTGTATATAGTTTATGCACACAAGAAGACTAAGGTTGTCATCAGCAAATACTTCTGAGAAAAAGAGCAACACAAATTACTTGACTGGGTTTGCTTATACTTCTTTACCCTTTTTGTTACAGCACTGCATTTTCAAGCAGGTCATGTCTAAAAACTAGTTGATAAACTAACAACTTTCAGGCTGCAAATATCCTCATGTTAGATGCTCAAAGGGTGAAAAAAAAAGACACTGCACAGATTTCACTCCTTGAAGTGCACAGCTTCTTTCAGCTTCAATGAACCGTGACAATATCAAAGGGATAACTTGCAACTCAGTATTTCGATGTTCATCAGTCCTCAGATTGCTTTAGTAAGAAAAACAGCTGCATCAGTATTGTACAGCATTGCATTACACGCTGCTACTTTTTTTTTTTTGGTTGGTATGACTGTCTCAAATTTTTAGTTCTGTTAAACAACATTGAATCTTCAGTGGTCCTTGAGAGGTGATGATCCTTCAAAAACTCGAAGTGGAAAATGTTTAGGGAAAGTGAAACCAGCCTATTTCCTATGAAAATGACACTTGAGTGTATTCTTCCTTTTGAACCTATTTATTATTTCAAGGTATTCTCAAAGAAGGAATGGAAAATTCAAATGACAATTATGTTCCTATAAATTTAATGAAAAACAAAATTCTCTAACCCAAATATAAATAGGTACTTAATTTTATAATATATTGAATTGTCTTTCTTACTCAAATGTTCCATCTGTAAAAACCAACACTTTTAAGTATCTTTTATATAGAAAGTATTTCACAATTAATTTTTAGTGCTGAAATTATCTGAAGAATAATTATAAACATTCTGTCTTTGCACCCAGGCCTTAATATACGCTGTCCCCAAACAATTCTCAGTTAATGCTTGTAGCCATTTAAATTGCTTTAACTTACTGATATTTATGTTTACAGGCTGGTGGCTAATATAATTTGTCAGCTTACAATAATAAGTTTCTTCTACTTGTTGATCTTAAATTCTTTTGTTCAAATCCAATAATTATTTTTTCCACATCTTAAATATCTTGTATCATAACCATGTTATTAACATGTCTAAAGAGATGGTGGAACTCTTCTGTACTTGTGATATTCTGAAAATTTTATCTTCTCTTAAATCATTTTAAGTAGTAATTTTAAAGAAGATACAGAACATCCCAGAGTATTCCTAAACTGATACAGTGAAGAGATTTCCCTCTTTATCTATATAGTGTATTTTTCAGCTTCAAACATCTAATTTTATCATTTAAATATTTTGAGATTCCTAACTTTTCATGAAAACCCAAGGCTATTTTACAGAATGTCATGATGTGTTTCTCCCCCCCCCCCCAGATTTTACAAAATAAATATATTTAATATTATTTTCCATGTTTTTCTTGAGTAGCTGACAAATATAAAATATTTGATCCCCCAGGAGTATCTTTCTTTTAAATCTCATATTGATGTTCCCTTCTCATTTCCTTTGATTTGAGGATGATGTAATGAAGATGGCATTAATGATAGGGATGCCATGATAATCTTCCAATTTAATCTCGTCAAGCTTTCTCCAAAGTTGTTATGTGTAACTGTTCATCTGTTCCAGAGATACCTTCAGACTACTAGCTTATTGGTTTTTGTTATCTTTTTCATTTCATAATTAACCAAGAGATTTACCAGTATGTTATTTTGCTGTTCCCAAGAAACCTGATTTCATCTTGTTTATTTTAAAAAATAATTCTGCCATATTAGCTTCCAGAAGAAGCTATGTGCTTATAACATAATTAAGAAGCTTAATTCTTCTCTCAATTTTTCTGTAACTGTATTCTTTGAAATAAAAAGATGCCCATTTTCATTCTCCATCAGATCTTCTCCACTGCAGTGATAGTATCTTCCCCTATTCCTTTTGCCCCATTCCATGCCCTTCAGATCAATATAGGCAGTGCTTCTATCATCAGCTCTTCACTGGTTTGGAGGTCTGAAAAAGAGAAGATCCAAAAGAAAGATAACAGCAGTCTACATAAGCAGGGTGGAGAGTGTGAGTAGAGATCAACTGCTGATTGTCTATTTGAAAAAAATTAGTAAGGGGTATCAGAAAAGGAAATACTTCTTCACACAGTGTAGAAGTCCTGGCCATGTGGCACTGGAATATTAAAATGTCACAGGAGTTCAAAAAGCAATGAACAAATGTATTGAAGGAAATACAATGGGAACTGTTAAATACAAAGACTGTGCATATGTTTTGCAAGCTACAGGCTGCTGGGACTTGGGCAATTATTCTGTGATGTGTCACCATATGCTTGTCTTGTTCTTACCCCCCTCTCTGAGCATCTACTGTTGGCAGATTTTGGGAGCAAGATCTGGAGCGAGTGGGACATTTTGTGTGACCTAGAGGCCAGTCTAACCCCCTAACCCAAAGCTGACCTTTGGCCTCTCATCTGCCAGGGATTCTGTTTCCAAAGACATATGATCTACGAGGCATATCAGTTCTCAGTTGTTCTTTCCAGCCTTTATGAAAACGCTGTTCGTTATCATTTCACTTGCCATACCATATGATGGCCTCGTTGTTAGTGTCAAGATCAGCCATAATGTTGCCACAGTTTTAAAATCCACAAGTCTATTTTATTAATATTATGTGATATCCCTATCTTTATTGGAATTCCTCTAAAACGCTATATTTTATGAGCAACTCAACTATTTTCCCATTCTTTATTGTGCCAAAGGTTTGTTGTTGTTTTTTTTCACTCCCTTTCAGTGCTTTACAGATTTACAGTTAATTTCCCTTATTAGTATTCTGACAGACACAAGTTAAGTGGCCACCATCTGGCATCATAATTTTTCAAAGTATCTTTTGAACTTATAATTTTGAATATGTAAAGCACATCTGTAAATGATACATATCTAATATAGAAGTCAATATGAATAATGCAAGCTATGGATATTCCTTAAATATTAAATGCTTGGGAAGTAGAGGCTATTAGGCTCTGTGTAATTACTGTCCATGGTTTTTTCATTTTCAGTAATACTTGATTGCAACCCAGTCAGATTCCAGGAAGAAATATTATAGGACCAAACACAAGACAATTATAGGCCAAGTGCAAGATGCTGCACCTGGATCAAGACAACCCCTGGTATCAATACAGGCTGGCGGATGAACAGATGGAGAGAAGCCCTGCAGGAAGGACTTGGAGGTGCTGGTGGATGAGAGGCTTGACATGACCCAGCAATGTGCACTTGCAGCCAAGGAAGCCAACTGTATCCTGGGCTGCATCAAAAGCAGAGTGGCCAGCAGGGCAAGAGAGGTGATTCTGCCCCTCTACTCTGCACTGGTGAGACCTCACCTGGAGCACTGCACTCAGCTCTATCCACAGGAAGGATATGGACCTGTTGGAGTAAGTCTGGGTGGGGCCACTAAGTTTATCAGAGAGACAGAGCACCTCTCCAGTGAGGAAAGGTGGGGAGGATTGGTGTTGTTCAGCCTGGAGAAGAAGTGGCTCTGGGCAGCCTTTCAGCACCTGAAAGGGGCCTACAAGAAAGATGGAGAGGGTCTTTTTAGAAGGGCATGTTGTGACAGGACAAGGGGGAATGGCTTTAAACTGGGAGAGGGAAGGTTTAGATAAGGTATTAGGAAGAAATTCTTCACTGAGAGAGGTGGAAAGACACTGGAACAGGTTGCCCAGAAAAGTTGTGGATGCCCCATCCCTGGAAGTGTTCAAGGCAAGGTTGGATGGGGCTTGGAGCAACCTGGTCTAGTGGAAGGTGTCCCTGACCATGGCAAGGGGCTTGGAACTAGATGATCTTTAAGGTCCCTTCCAACCAAAATCATTCTAAGTTTCTATGTTACTTTACTGTCTAATAAAAAATCCCAGGAAAAAAGCTATCTTCCAGCAGAGTCAGATAATGGCTAGGAAAGAGACTCTGACAGCTCAAGTCCTGGCTGTTCTCAGTATTCTTGATCTCTTGCTCTATCTCCTCTAGAGTTTACTGTTTGTTTGATTTATAAAATATGTGTGGAAATAGTGTTATGATTTTTGTGATAGTCCACCCATAAATAGAAATGAGGCAACATCTGTGGCAGAGAGACTCTAACATACTAGATAACTGCTAGATCTGGGAAAAAGGCAGGCATAACAGACTCTGTTTCCAGGATATTCTTTTTCCCTACACACCTTTCCTCCTGTATCTGCATAATATAAAATCACCCATTACTTGTCTGGGCATTTTTCTTTTAATAGCACATTGTTAATTGATCTACACAGTATTTTACTCATCTGTTGTGCCTTTGTTGTTAGCATGTTTCTGTTTCACTTATTAATGATTTGTTTCTGTGATAATTTAAGATAGCTTGTCCATTTTTAATCTTTGAGAATTTAAAAAAAATATTTCAGAAAGATAATTTTATCAATTAAAAAAATGAATTGATCCTGTGACCTCCTTCTTCATTTCTTATGAGGCTGCTCTGTGGGATTCCTGACCTGAGTGGGGAGAAGGAAGAGAATTAGACAGAAAAGATACAAAAGATTGGTTTGTTTGCCTTAACTTTCAATTGCCATTTCAGAGGCCTGCAGGTTTCTCAGATAGATGCCCTTAGACACCACAAAAAGCTGAGGTATTCCTTAGGTTCAGCCAGCCCTATATTCCAAGACATATCCCATTCCCTGGGATATGCTTGACTGTCCCAAGGAATTTCACATGACCCTCACCTAGAGTCTAAAATTATAGGAAAAGGGTGGGGGTCAGGTTGTTTGTTTGTTTGTCTGTTTTTAATCTACCATTTCCAATCGATTTGGTAAGCTGTGTAGCACAACTAGGCAAAGGGAGACAATGAAAGGAAATAATTGCAGTCATCCAGCCTTACTTTCCCAGGAACTGGGACAAGTCTAATAACTGCCACAAGTTATTTTATGGCTATGTTTAAACTCCAGTAATCTGTGTTCTGATTCATAGGATAGCAACTCTATTCCAGAAAATAATAATTCAAAAAAAAAAAGTTTTGGAGTAATGTAGGAGCTTGATGACATCTGAGAATTTATTTCATTGGGATTTACGAATCCTGTGTTTAAAGCTGCTTTATGACTTTGAGCATATGAAAGCAGTTAAGGACATGCAGGTACATATCTGGCCCTTATGGTTCAGAGATGTTTAGTTTAGCCTTGCTTATTTTAAACATAGGAAGTTCTACTATTATGGTACTAACCGTTGTTGCAAAAGGCACTATTATTTTACTCTAGATTAATTTAAAAAGAAATTATAATGACTCATTGGATCAATTATTCATACTTTGCTAAGTGACAACATGTTATTATACCAAGATATAAAATTGTATTTGCTCTTTAGCTTTGGACACAATGGTATTATTAAAAAATCAAATACTAATGTGTACTTTGGCACATTTTCAGCATTTGTGCCTCCCTCTGATAAAATGCAATGCAAGAGCTTTCGTCCAGCCTCTGTACAGACAAGAACACTGCTTCAGGGGAATGCCAGACAATGCAGTAGCTGTTCTGAGGTAGCCAGGGAAAACATACTTTCCCTTACAGTTAGCTGCTACGTAACCTTGTTTTTATCCTCTTTTCTTTTTAAGTGTACCCCGTTCTGCTCTCATTCAGGTGAATGAGAGCTTTTGCAGGAATTATGCTTTTGTTCCATAGAAATTTACAGGAAGGAAACAGTTCTTCACAAAGATTTCATTCCTATGCATTTATGAATTTCCTATAGCAACAGCAACAACAATTTCACTACATATATCTGCAATTAAGAAATAACCTTAATCTCTCATTGCTGCCAGCTACATGGGTTTATTTATCTTAATATTAAGAAAGACATTTAAGATCCTTCTATGGGCTTAATAAACTAACTCTGTGCTTTCCTAAAACACCAAATAACTTCTTTTTATGTCTTTTTGCACCCATTGCCATCCTCTTGACAAGATAACTGGTGCTGCGGGGCTCCACATCAGATACTTTTTCTGCTTTCCTCTCATGATGGGCAATTGGTCGGTTTGTATCATTACCTATGTGCTACTATGAGAGAAAAATAGATTTCACCTTGAAGTAAAAAGAAGATAGAATTGTGGCAGATTTTAGAGTCTGCAAGAGATATTGAATCATGAAGGGATTATTCAAAAATCACAAGCAATCATTACACGCACTTTTGTTTGCTTCATTTTGTGAAAACAGCAGAGTGATTTAAGATCTGCATCTTTTCCTGGTTATTGTGGACATAAATAAGTCACAGATTTGGAGACAGATTCTCCAAATCTTGAACTATGCATGACATTCAATACAAAGTCAACATATAGTTGTTTATTTTGCTGAAGAACCAAATTGGAGCACTTGTCTATGAATATTCCGGCTGTGATGTACATAGTGCACATATTTAAGACATATTCTAGTTAGCAGTGTCTGTTGGGATTGTGCTTGTGTCCTCAATATTGCCAGACTTCTGTACTGAAGATATGAAGAATGAAAGAAGCCTAGTCACAACACAGTGTTTTGCCTTAGTAATTTGTTTTCTGCATCGGAAGTGGTTTTTTTTCTTGATATAGGTATTTAATCTAAGTCTTTCAGATTTCAGAGCTCTTATAGCCTGGTTGTGAGATGATGATCAGGTAAACCAATTCTAAAGGGCACTAAATATAATTACTTACCTTTAGTGGCAACAATACTAATAGTGAAATGAATTAGCAACTTGATCTATTGAATATATTAATTTGGCAGCCAGATTTGGACAGAAGTAGTATAAGAGAGTAGTATAAGAGAGTGGTATTAGCCTCTTCAACTTCAAAAATAGGGGATACTAGCACTGATTTGCTGAATACTGACTGCTTCACTATTATTCTAATGTATGAATCGCTACACTTCTCAGTAATATAAGTCAGGTATAATGTTTAGAAACATTATTAGTTAGAAACTAAGTTACAGCAAAAATCCATACTGCTTTGTCCTTTGTTAAATCTGAACTTTGTACTCTGGTGATAAGAAGCCTTCTCAGAATTAGTAGAGGTTAATTATGTGACAGATCCCTAAATTCCCATGATAAAAATATCTCCTCTTTAAGCAGTACATTTCTTTTTTTTTCAGGAAAAAAAAAAAAAGAAAAAAAAGCCTGAAAAGCTGTCTTTTTTCCCCCTGTTAGCTCTGTTCTTACGGTGCATTGGGTCTGGCTGAGTTGGAGTTCATTTCCCCACAGTAGCCCTCACAGTGCTGTGCTTTGCATTGGCAGCCAGAAGAGTGTTGATAACACACCAGTGTTTTGGCTACTGCTGAGCACACCATCAGCACTGTAACATTCCTTCCTCAGTTGAGGGCAAGATCCTGTGAGGGGACCAAACTAGGCCAGCTGACCCAAACTGACAAAAGGGATATTCCAGACCATATGATGTCAGCTCAGATATAAAAGCTAAGGCAAGGAGCAGGAGGCAGGTATCATTGTCTCCAGTGGCTGCCTGCTGAGAAACCTTCAGGCATACTGAAGCCCTGCTTCTCAGGAGTGGCCGACCATTGCTGCTCATGGGAAGTAGAGAATAAATAAACCCTGCTATCTTTCGCTTCGCTTTTGCATGCACAAGCTTTCGCCTAGCTTCTGCTTTAATAAACTGCCTTGTCCCAAACCACAAGTTGTTTTCCATCTTACTCTCTCCCCTGTCTGGCTGGGGAGTGATAGAGCAGCTGGGTGGGCACCTGGCATCCAGCCAAGGTGAACCCACCACATATGGGCACCTGGTTCAGATGGAGTTAGGGTCTTCCAGTTCATTCAAACATCTGGTGCTATAAATATTCATGCCTTGGTACTATTCCAATTTTTTTTGCATCCATTGGCTTCTTCTGCTAAAAAGTATATGAAGAGTTCATATGAGAGGAGCTTTCCTCCATCTGAGTGCTTCCTCAGAGTTATGACTGTATCTCCAAAAACTTCTGAAGGAGTAAGAAAATTGAGGTTGTATAAAAGCATTATAACTAGACTGAGTCAGATCCACAAACATTTAGACCAGCATCCTCTCCCTGACACCAACGCATATGTGATGACACATGCACCAGCAGAGAAGTCCTTCTAACAGCCAAGCAAGAGAACAGAGTTAATGTGGACTCCAGTTGAAACGGACTCTCCATCCTTGGAGATATTCAAAATTTGTCTGGGCAAGGCCTGAGTAACCCAACCTTACTGGGCCTGCTTTGAGCAGAGAGTTCTAAACTAGTTGACCTCTGCATGTCTCATACAAGCTATGATTCTGTGACTCTGACTGTTGTGTTTAGCATCCATGAATCTACTGCTGGTACCTGGGATCTTTTCAGTTATACAATGAGAATGTCAAAACATACATTTGGTATCTTTTTGAAGACACAGGGTATAGCTAGATGCCTATAGATGAGCTTGCCGCCCCAGCTCCAGTTAAAAGTCCGTGGAAATCAAATCAGTAAAGTTTGTAGTTGCACCAAGGTTTAAGAACACAGGTTGCCCACAAACTAGGTTCTCCGTAAACTTATTACTAATTTGTTATATTTAAATTACAGCTTATGTCACCCCCGCCAATTTGGTGCAATACAACTTGTGCAGTTTATGTGGGCGAAGAACTGGGAATTTACTGCTAGTCTAATTAAAGTCTTCATAGTCTAATCAAAGAATTGTGATTAATCTGGACACAATGATACCATCAATTATACTCCCAATTATCCAAACATTACAGCTCATCCCTGTAATGATATAGTGAAAATCAAAATACTCAAACTTTATAGTAATTGTCCTTTTCTATGGTATTATGCTCACCCTTCCACTGTTGCTCTGGCAACAGAGAGATCATGTCCTAAGGTTGATGGCTTCTATCTAGGAGGGGAGGGTGTCATGGCAAATCATTCATGGTGTGATATGGGCAGTTTTTTACTTCTCTTTACTGAAAATATGATGTTGGTGTCAATGGTTTCCTCCTCCTTGCTCTTGGGTCTGCTTAGAGCCATTATTATGTACTTGCTAACACAGTTTGCTTGCTCCTTATTCATTGGTTCACAATTTCATATTATACCAAAATCTACTATATGTATGTTTTACATATACCAGATACCTGGGTTTGGCTCTATTTCTTAGATCCAGTCAAACTCCAGGCAATATGGTTTCTCCCATCTGTTGGTTTCTAAGTTTCCAAAGGTTCTTGCCAATTATTTTTAACCTGTTTCTCCTTGTCTGGTGGCTTCTCTTCTTTCTGAGAGTTAATATTGCCTGCAGATTTTACAGAGGCTTCCATGTTCAGTCCCCACCATCTTGCTTCTTATTATATTTGTCAGTGCAAACAGCCTAATAGCAGTATTGTCAGCACATGATCCAGCACTCCTGGAAGCTCCCACTGCAGAGTATTCCAAATGACAGAGAAATAAGATCATTTAATTCTTACTCAGTGTACTTATAGACTTAGGGCTGGAACATGCCATGGTCCTGATTCTCAGTCAGTCATTCTTTTTTCTGATACACGTCTGGCCTGTGTTTCTTTTTATTTCTGCTATGGCCACACTGCAGAACTTGCATGGTGGTTAATGCCCGCAAGGTTTTCACCTCCAAGAGAATATGGCTGTCATGTGAACAAAGTTCCAGAAGTACAGAAGACGTGTTTCCTATACCTAGAATTAAACCCTTAAATATTCTTTCCCTCTTTCATCTTTCCCCTTATTATGTGGTGAGCAAAATTAGCCCTTAAGTGTTTTTTCCTCAACTTTCCAGATAGAAAGGGCTAATCAAACAAGATATCCTAATAAAATAAAATAAAACGAGCTCCAACACTGAGAAGAAGTACCTTCTGTTATTTTTCTGACAAATATACCCTTATTAAAGATATATTCCACCCACTCTCTGGGTCACTTATCATCTTCCTCATCTTGTGCACTTCCTTTTTATGTCTGAATTAATGTAGGAACTCCTTGCTCATCCATGCAGGTCTCCTGCTGCCTTTGATTGATCTCTTATTTGCTGGGATGGAGCTTTCTTGAGCTTGAAGGAGGCGATATTTGAATATCAACCAGCTCTCCTGGACCCTTCTTCTATGCAGGGTCATATCCTATGGGATTATTCCAAGAAGCTCTCTGAAGAAGTTGGAGTCTGAGTTCCTGAAATGCAGATTTGTAGTCCTGATTTTTGCCCTGCTTCCTCCTCTTTGGATACTCCTCCTCCTGTATTCTCTTTGATCATGTGACCCCAGTGGTCATATGGCCATTCAGCCAAGGCTGCTCCAACTTTCATATCCCTGACCAATTCTTCCTTGTTTGTAACTATCAAGTCCAGGAAAGAACATTTCCTTGTTGACTCCCTGAGGCTAAGACAGTTGGGCATGGAGAAGAGAGGCTGGTGGGGATCCCATCCTTGTTGTGCTGGTTTAAAGGTAAACTGGCAGGAGAAATGAACCCAAAGAGATATAATAATCCAAAGAGATTATAAATCAGATTTACAATTTAATAAAAATAATACAATAAATACAATTATATAGACAAACAATTGGCTTTAACCTACAAAACCCGGATTTATAGCCTGGCACCCTGGGGCACAAACAGAATGGTGTTTGTTGGCCCCCACGCGGAGCCCCACGTGGTCCCCCTGAGTCCAAAAGTAAAAGGAGAGGAAAAACCTGTTGGTGAGAGTGGTGGTCTCAGTCTAGCTGAGAGTGATGGTTTCAGTCCGGTCAAGGTTCTGGTCCTCCTCTGGATCCCACGAGTGGTACCAAAAGTCCCAAGACCTCAAGATTATACACCCTCAGGTTCAGGCAGGAATGCCCAGTACCTCCCCCAGGGCGGGGAGTTCCACAATGGGTGATTGTGTGTCGTGGGTGTGAGGACAGGAATATCCTCCTATCTCACAGGCCTCTTAACACCCAGCTTATAGCCAGGGGGTCAAGTGTGCTCTGGGCATCTGCTGCAAATGATCTATTGTTAATAGTTCCTGGGAAATGACATAGAGGGTATAGAATACACAGTTTGGGTTACACCCACACAGTGATGAACTGGTCCTAGCTGTTCTAACTAGCACACATGTGTATAAACACCTGAACAGAGGGAATGAAGAAAAGGTGGTCAGACATTTTTCAGTGGTGCCCAGTGACAGGACCAGAAGCATTTACCTTAGAATGAGATGAATTGCATCATGAAAGTGCCTGTTTTTCTGTACTCACTATAAAAATATCTGGATATCTGGATCTGATGCAGACACCTGTGACAGAGACACCTAAATTTAGGTGAGCTAACTGCTCTGTATTAGAATAAATCTAGGCAACACAGCTGACAAATATTTCAAGATAAGCATTCCTCCTTTCATTTAGCTGAACTCACATCACCACATGGAGGATCAAACCCTTAGTGAACTGATTGGTTTAGAGCACTTCTGTACATTCCCAGCTGCATTTAAGACACTTAAACATAGCACTGCCTTTTTTGCCTCAAAACTGGCAGGAATGCTGAAATATCATGCCTGAAGTTACCTACACAGAGCACACAACTGAACAAAAGCTGGCTTCAGAGAAAATCACCACTGAAGATTATTTCTCAAAATTTATTATTCCTTTCTGCCACTGCAGCCCTGGGTCAGCTCAGATGTTGACGGACACTTCCACTCAGATTCACTGAACTAGGCATTTTTCCAGAGACCTACATGCTTTTGAAAACAAGAGTATGGAAAAGACTTGAGCAATTTTAATTACAGTTTTGACTATATGTTTGCACATTCTTAGTTCCTGAGCTGTGTTTGGATAAAATTTAGTCAACTGCCTCTAGCTGAAATAGTACACTGTATTCTGACAGTGGGACACAATGTTGTGTGACTGCTAGCATGATGGACTAGTGAAAAAGAACATTTTTTTTTCATGTTTAACAAATTATCTGTTGAGGTAAGTGGTCATGTTCACATGCCACCTAAGCTTATGTGGCTAGCTAATAGGTAAAAACTACGTACATCATAAATCCTCTAAAAGTCATTTGAAAAGTAATTTGAACCAAGATACAGAATGCTTACTCAAGAGGAAACTCAAGGCATGGGGCCTTAGAATTTAGGCTGAGTTAGCATTGCAGCTGGATAGGTCTGGGTGATGATACGGTGGTTAACAACATTTCTGTTATGTTCTGCTCTGTTTATATTTTGACTTATGTTCAAAGGAGACTAAGCTAGCATTACAAGGAGCCAGTGTAACAGCTCAACAGCACTGTAACCACGCTGTGTTTTTTAATGCAGTTGCATTACAAACACAGAATAAAAGGGTGGTTCCTAATAAAGGAGGTTTATAATTTATACAGTTTTATTTTATATAGAAGAAAATCAATTTTGGCATAAGGCCTGCTCAAGAGCTCTATATATGGATAACATATACAATGATGAGGAGACTGAAAGTTATTTAGAACATAACCACTGTCAGTACAGTGCAGGGCAGTGTCACAGCAGATCTAATTTGAATGATCAGCATAATTTTGACATTGAAAAGATAATTTTCATTTTATATCTTTTTCCAATAGATTTTTATATTGTGTTATAAGTGTTATGAGAAATGCCAACACATTAGACTTCGTGACCTAGTAGTAACTTACCATGAATATATATTCTACTTCTCTCTCTTCCTGTAGGACAGAAACAATGCATTGCAGTTAATACTTTAAAGCAATATTGGCACTGCAAGAGCATGGAGTTACTTGGTCTTTCCTCTTCTAATTCTATAAAAAAATGATTTTCGGAGAGTATCAAGGTCTTAACTGTTGAGATTTTTTTTGCGTACAACCAATTTAAAAACAACATAGCTTTCAGATAAATGGATTAATGGATTGAGTATCCTTTTTCCTAAGGAATACATATTAAAACTGCTTTCTACCTAATCATACCTTAGTGATATTACAAAAATGACAAGTATCACCAAGATCAGAATGGAAATGTCTTGTCCAAATAAGACTTCATAACAGCATTGGATTTCTTCTTGCATCTGTATTGACTCTCAGTGCACTAAACCTACAGAAGTCTGTATTTTCTACCATTTCCTCTATTTTTCCCCCCAGCATATCTCAAGGGTTTGGAGATTGTTTTCTTGTTCTTTGTTTTCTAACTGGAGGTATTTTCTCACATATTTCCCACATTCCTTCACAGTTTGGTGTATATTTACATTCTTTATTCTGTATTTCAACTTTACTGTCATTGGTTTTATTGACTCTGATTGACTTCTGCACATTCCATTCAACCCCACTTGTTAAACAGAAACTTGAAAGCCACATGGGGATTTTTTTGTTTGTTAAACACTGTATATTTACATAATAGCACATGTTGGCAACTGTCAAGATCAGGTGTTTAACATCAGATCTGTAGCTGAAAACACACTGAAAAAACTAGGCCTTATAAATTTTAAAAAATTCTAGTTACTTCTCATCTTTTACATTTAGGGGTTTTTTAGGTAGTGTCCACCATCAGTGTTCATTACGCACAAATATTTAAATTATTATATTATTTTACAAGGGATTTTAAAAAAAATTGTTATAAACTCATAGATTTTTAAGAGACAAATTAGTTTTAAAGAAAACAACGTCAAACTGGTACACACTGATGTGTTTACTCCTGTGATTCATCTGCTTTGAACTGACTTCTCTCAAAGTACACGTACCTCTCCGAAAAGGTGGGACTTCGCAGATCCTTCTTAGTCACTGTTAGACCTTCCTCTGGCAGCCTCTGCATTCATTCTTCATAACAAAACCCAGTTTGTGTCACATTATGTGGAAATACAACTTTTTAAGAAGAATCCACGCAGAGAGACAAGCACTCCCAAGACATGACACTGCCCCAGTCTTTATTTATGGACTCTGTACCATTTCCTCTAGATTCACCACTTACTCCACAAAATTGGCTAAGCAATCACCTTGCAGTGGCAGCTCGTTATGCTCTTTTTTTTTTCCCCTGCAAAACCACTGAGCTATACTGAAGAAGCTATAACTGCTGCTAACGTGAGCACTGGCTCCCCGAATTTGTCTGAAGCACAGCTATGCCTTTTTGGAAGATGATGTTACTTCGCTTCTGTGGTCTCCTGCATCAATCATGCTTGTGGTCAGCAAAGGTAATTAATCTAAGTTGTAAGAGAGACAACAGAGACAAAGGGATCTATGCTACTAGCTTACAGTACAGCTGTTTTATGCACAGCTATGAGGAGCTTGTCAGAATACACCTGAACTAGTTCAAAACTGTCTCTGTGACTTAACAGGAAATAGCTGTGGCCGTATAGAGATCCATGCAGGCTGCAAAATCTGTCCAAGACCAAGGAAAATATCTGAGATGTTTCCCAACCTGAGCTCTGTGTTGCAGTAATGACATTTAGAGCTCATCCAGATACATCTGCATGGTGTTTGGACGTACCCAAAGACCAGACTTGTAAGACTATACACATGTATATAGACACTGAACGAAGATGATGCCAATATAATCAAAAATCTGTATTCAGCTATGAAATCTTAAAAATAGCCCAGTGTTCCTGTTAATGGTGGCTCTGGCATTGCCTACGTTGCCTAAAAAAAGGAGAAGAAAAGATGAAGAAAACCAAGCCAACCTCCTCCTGTTTCTTACCAAGAAATTCAGTTCCAGTGGTTTGTTTAAGCCAATTTCCTGCTTAAGGTAACTATCTAAGCCCATATAGAGATCACAAATTTTATGCAGTTTACGTAACCAAGAACATGGACTTAAAACCAAATAGTTTAAGAAAGGAATTTGAAAACAGTGAGGAAAACAAATACAGTCAGTAAATTCACAGCCTGCTTTCAGGTCTGTCCATGAGTAAATTAGGTACATTAATTTCACTAGATTTACACCAGGAAAAAAACTATTTATTTCCCACTGACATCATCTGTATTAGAGGTTTAAAAACACATGCTAAAGATGTAAAACAAAGCCACAAAACCTGAAATTTTACTTTTTTTTCAGTTTTTGGATAGGAATGTACAGCTTTTAGTTTAAATTCTTTATATGGTACAGCAAGCAAAATATGACAGTAAGTGTAACATTTACTTAAAATAGTATAAAATTGTAGAATAGTATAAACGTGCAGTATTGGGTTTATGTATGTTTATTAAGATAAAATTAACCTAGTTCTGAAATCTATCTACTCTATAAGTTCCATAAGAAATTTTAAAAATTTGAATAGGCTTATACAGGTGAATAAATGTAAAGATAAATACCTTGCTTTCTTATTTGCTGGCCACTGATTGAATAATGAATGAAAAACAAGATTGAAATTGCTAACAGTCCTGCACTGCTTGCCTTTGTGCAATTACGTTCAGACTTGTCTGAATTCAGATCCTATCCTTCAAGTCAACTTTTCACAGAACTGTGCTTGCAAGAACTGTTATTACCAAGAAGATTCTTTTCTTGGCTCATTTTCATAGTGGAGCAAAATTTAAACTGTTGTAAACTTGCTGACTAACAGCAATTAAGTTTCTTTTTTTCCTAAAACAAATCTGAAGCAATACTTTCTTTTAAATGTAAATTTAAAACTATTTTGACTACATGCTATTTAGAGCACTATTACTGGTTCTTTAAATACAGTTCTTTGACAAAAAAACACTTTTCTGCAGGATCCAGAAAACGGTGCTAACCATTACTGTCATTGTAGACCCTTAAGGTTTAAGAAGTTCAAACTGAAAAAGTAAATCTTAAAACTAGCATTAGTGTTTTAGTCAACAGGACTTGTTCATCTAAGTAATAAAGTCTGAAAAGTTATGAAAGAAACATTTCTTACATTCAATATATATTCTGTACAAGAGAGTACAAGAGAGATATGGACTTACTGGAGAGAGTCCAACAATGGGCCACCAAGGTGATGAAGGGACTGGAGCATCTCTCCTTGAGGAAAGTCTCCAAGGTCTGGGACCCTTCAGCTCAGAGCAGAGAAGGCTCAGAGGGGATCTCATCAATGGATATAAATACCTGAAGGGAAGGTGCATAGAGTATGGAGTCAGGCTCTTCTCAGTGGTGCCCAGTGACACAACCAGGGCAATGGGCCCACACAGAAGGCTCCCATTGAACATCAGGAAACACTTTCTTTTTTTTTTACTGTGATGGTGACTGAGCACAAACTTCAGTTGCCCAGAGAGCTTGTAGAGTCTCCATCCTTGGAGATATTTGAAACCTCTCTGGTTATGGATAGCCTGCTCTAAGTATCCCTGCTTGAGCAGAAGGGTTGGACCAGATGGCCTCCAGGGGTGCCTTTCAACATCAACCATTCTGTGATTCTGTGGTTCTTTGATTTGAAGGAGCCTTAGTGCTTGCCAATTACTTTGCATTATGGATTAATATTATGCCATAAACAAAACCTCTAGAACCAGTTAAAATATACAGATAACACTATTTTGAAAATACAAAGATTTGAAAGAAATGCATGACCTTCCTGTTTTAGCCTTTTACCAGTACAATGACATAACTTCCTATCCAATTACATAACTTTAAAAAAACCCTGAAATGTTCCAGAAAGAATAAGAACCAAAGAAGGACATATTTACAGCCTAAATTAGTCACATGGCCTGTTTTGATATGTCCCATAAGTACACTGATAATATTCCCAAAGAAAAAGAAGTTGGGTCTCTGTATATAAGCTGTATCACCCATCCAAAATTTGTCCCTAAATATGAAACTTGCTCTCCACACACAACTTTAGTATCTCTGCTAAATCTACCCCTGTCTCTACTGATTCTTTTACCAAGCGCTATGGAATATTTTCTAATTTCCCTATTAAATACATTCTGGTTCTTGCCAACTGTCCTTTCTTCCCTTAAAAGACATGAATTGCACAAGTTCAGAACTGAAGGTTGCATCTTAATAAATGCTTACTCAATTGTATTCCAACATTTGCAGACTCAAATTCCATTTGGCAGCTATTAACTATAGCCCAAGTCAGAGTTTCTAGGACAGTGTATTCCACAGAACTGAGATACAACACTTAAAAACCCACGGAGATCAGGTGACAACTTGTTGGGCTGAGATGTCACATGGAACACTTGAGAAACAGTTTACTTTGGAGATATTTGTTGCTAACAATATAGAAGATGCTAGAAGTTAAACTGATTACACTGATTACATGAATGGTCCAATTTTCACATCCCATGAAATCTGGCAATATAATTAAGAGATTTTCTTCTATTTGGTAGCTGAAGCACACTGCAATACTCCGTACAAACTTTCTTAAACTCAAGATGACCCTTACTAATAACTGTTCCTTTTAAGACAGAATAATTAAACATAGAAACATTCATTATGTATAGAAGTAAAGAGGCAAAAGGAGAAAATCCTGTTAGGAAAATAATAACATTAATCCATTTCTAACCTATATTTCTATGCCAAGTTTGTTTCCTAACTGCTAGGGCTTTTGATGTGCAACAGGAACATAGCAAATGCAACAAACAGGATAAGCCTGAAATTTTCAAACTTTTTTTTTCATAGCTGTAGTAACTGCTGCATTAGCTAGATACAGGCTGCAAGCAAGGTCCCAGGCACATACAGAAAGTCTCACGCTTCCACCTCCTCCTCTCTTATAATCCTATCTTCACTCCCACCCCCATCTAGAAACATAACTGCGAGCTCACTCTCCACTTCTCTGCCCTCCTACGCACACATATTGGGACTTCACTCCCTCAAGACCTCAGCCAGCTCATCAGTGATGACTGCCTGTACACCACCACTTTACCCTGCTGCTCAGGTCAGCCTCCACGCTGGCAAGCAGCCCACGTAAAGGTGATGACCTGGGCTGCAAGGTAAAGTTCTGCATGCTGGTCATCAGTGAGAGCGAGAAGCCACTTTCATGAGAGTATTTGCCTTGAAGATCAGTTATGCTGCATCACAGACAAACACTCCGCTGCTGCCAAGAGCTGCATCTACGGCTATTTTGAAATTGTTGCCTACCACAGCTACACATCTGGCAACCTGGGAATCTAGAAATGAGTCAGCCTCCTCTAATATACCTTTATGGGTGAAGGCATTTTTCACTGGTTTTATTCCAGGAGACCATAAGCATCTAAACATTTAGAGTTTTAGGAGGAAGAGAGAAGAAAATCACATTTCTTGTCACAGAACGGTGCTTTGCCTTCACAAGAAGAGCAGGCAAACGGGCTCATGACCATTAATTACTTGAGGTAGATGCCTATTCAAAATCTTTCTCCGGGTCCCCAAGATGCCTTCTGTGCCATATCGTGCTTCTCGCCCCGTGATGACAAACATACAGGCAAGGCCCTGGGCTTGGGACGCAACAGCCTCACAGGACAGAGCCGAAGTGTGAAGAGCCGGGAAAGAAGATGACAACGACCCCTTCTCAGCACCCCCGAGAGAACCGCGGGGAGCGGAGCGTCGCCGGGGCCGCGCGGAGGAGGAGGAAGAGGCAGAGAAGGAGCAGAAGCAGAAAGCGCACACGTACCAACTCCCCAGCTCTGGGGAGAGCGAACACGGCTGCCAGTCCGGCGGGCCGGGCCGGGCCGGGCGGGGGGCGGTGCCTGTGCCGGCTCCGCCGCCGCGGGGGCGGGCCGGGGGCGGGCACAGCGGGGCACGGCCGGGGCGGCGGCGGCGCCGGGCGAGCGGCCGGGGGAGGGAAGGAAAGAAGGACCGAGTGACGCGGGGCTGGGTCGGAGGAGCTGTGGCCGCGCCAGACCAGGATGGATCACCACCAGCCCGCCAGCCGCTACCAAGTGGTGAGTGCGGAGCCCCCGGGAAGGCCCCGGTTCTCGCCTCCCGCCGCCCCCTCGGGCCGGGGCGGCGGGCGCGGTGCGGCCGGGGCGCCCTTTGGTCCCGGCCCCCGGTTCGCAACTCCCATGCTCGGGGGTCTGGCAGGGATCTCCGGCGTTCCTCCAGCGCCGGACCGGGACCGAGCGCGGCCCCGTCCCGCGGCGGGGTCTGACAGCCGGGCCTTGCTTGGCCGTGGGCGCTGCCCCCGCCCGTCCCCCCGGCAGCCGGAGGGGGCGGCTGCCCGGCCTGCTCGGCAAACTGCCTTTGCCCGCCCCCCGTCCCCTCCCGCGGCTCTCCGCGGTGCTCGGTCCCGGCCCGGGGGCGGCGGGGTTTCCCGAGCGCCTCCCTCGCCGGGGAGGGGGTGGTGGCTCCCGGGAGAGTGGCCGGAGCAGGACAGCGATGCGCGCTGGGCTGGTGCGGAGCGGCTACGGAAGGGCAGCGTTAGTTGTCTCTGGTTAGTACGTGCCGGGGAGCGAGGCTCTGAAACCCTGTGGTTTCTGATAGCCCGTAGCTGTCTGGCGTAGGGTAGAGTGTAAGGCCTGGATGAAGGTTGGATGGAGGGAGCTGTAAAATGCAGGAGACTGACCTTCAGCCGGGCTCTGTGTCTGTGTGCGTATGCACATATACGAGCACACTGCCTTAAGAACAGTCTTCAGTGCTTTTCAGTTCACTGAGACCAATTTAAATGCCCGTTCTTTCGTTCCTGAATTTCACTCCAGAAATAATCATTTAGGATGTAAAGATTTTCCTCCTGCCCGAATTGACTGCCCTGGTTGTTTCTTGCAGTAATTAGTTTAATGTCAATTATACTCAAAATATATAAGCTTTTTTGATTATTGGGTGGAAAAATGACTTAGGTGCAGTCAGTGTCCTCAAAAGCTTCAATTTTATCCTTTAGTTCCTTGTACTTGATGACTTTGCTGTCAATCTAAAGGTATGGAAGTCTGAAATCTTTGCTGCTCTCTGTAATTCAAATTTCTATTGCAACCTTCTAGCTAAATCCTGATTTATTTATCTTGGGGCGTTCGTGTTTTACGGCTCAAGCAGTGAAAAGAATGTCCACAAAAGTAAATCACATTTACTTCTGTGCATGTGTAAATACTTGTATTCAGATTCTTCCTAGGTTAAGATTTAAGAAAAAATACTGGCAAAACCCTTTATTATATTTGGAATATTTATTTGGATAGTCTTACAGCATTGGAAATTTCTCTGTGCTTTTGAGCACTTATATACAGAGATTGTCATATATCTGATGTGCACACCAAGCACCTCGTGACTTCTCATGAGTAATGTGTGCCTTAAGATTGCCTCTTGGTTGCCAACTGCTTTACGGGTCAGTGCTTTCTAGCACACTTCTTTTCCTGCATCATGCTTCCGTAACTTGAAATCAGTAGGAATTCTAAGTCATTCCTTCTCTGCAACGGAGAACGAAAATGCTGGCGGAGCGTTTTCTCAAGAGCCTACTGACGCTATCTTCCCTGAGGCCTGCGTATGTTTTAGTAAGTAACCTGGGTATGTTTTAAAAGGCCCTAAAAGCATATGGTATTAAACTTCAGGCAGATAAAAGTGAAACCTTAATTCAGTTCCTCAGAGGAGTTAACAAAAACGTGGTAAGGTGGAATGAAGAAATAGTATGCCTCTGTAATATTTCTATGGTAGCTTTGTTAGGAACTTCCAGTGATAGTGCTGGTGTCCAACTCTGGGAACACGTGCTTTGATGTGGCCTTCCAGAAGTTCTTATCTTAACGTTTGACTGCGTGAGTTGGCCTCCCCAGTTCACTGTGCATATTAAACTGCGTGGTCAATTTGTGGCATGAATTTTGTTATGGAAATGTTCTCTGAAGCCTTCACAATTACAGCATGTGAAGTTTCATCAAATTTTTTGTAAATCAGTCTGATGTACTCCAGAGTTTTAAACCTTCCTACTTACTGTCCCATAGGAAAGAGTATGTTGTTTTATTTGCTTGGTTATATCTGACTGCTAGAGATTGAGATTTTTGTTATGTTATTTATTTACTGTTTTGGGTCAGAGAATGGAAGGAACAAGGCAATTGCAGATATACTTAATTAGCACCTGATTATTCAAGCATGTGATCTTAAGTGTTGTGGTGTATTTGCTTACATAATGGTTGTAATAGGTACTAAGCAATAGATCATTTAAGATTTTGTGGTTGTGTCCTAGTTGTTAAGGAGAAAATATAGAAGAAAAAGACGATTTAATGTAACTAATACCACATTTTATGAATTTAGTTTTATGACTATCCAGCTCTCTAGTGCTAAGGTTGAGGAATCTGGCCTGTTCTCCTGTGCTCCCTGAATGTCTTTTTTTTTTCTTTTTTCTCCCATGAAAAATAATAAACACCTTTTTTTTGGTTCTCTTTGTACCCATTCTGCCTTTACTTCTAACTGATCTGCTTGGTTCTATTCAGGGCAAATTCTCATCTAAATAGAAAGAATTGCAGATGTATGTTATTATGGAAAGAATTACTGACTTAGATTTCTGTGCCTGGCAGTGACAGTAGCACTTCAGAGAAGCTGAAGGAGCTATCTTTCTCTTTCTGTTTGTGGTTTCTTCAAGTAACTTAAAGACTTAAAGACTGGCAGGCAATTTAGTGTTGAGCTTTAACACTAAAAGCTAGTTTTATGACTTCTTACGAAACAGAAAATGTCTGAGCATAAAGCTAACCCTCTTTTTTTTTTTTTTTTTAAACTCTGTCGGAAATAGCTCTGAAGCTTCATTCTTACATCTTGTTTTTCCTTGGGTGTCTGCATTTTATTTACAAAACAGTGCAAAAATGTTCAAACCAGGCAGCTGTTAAAAGCTGGTACTTGGAATTGGAGCAAAGTAAGTGTTGTGAGCCAAGAGCAGGCAGTACGTCAGCATTACGTAACTATTTGCCGCGGGCGTGTGTGATTTGTATTGCTTTCTGCCCCTCCTTTTTTGTCCTCTCTTCATAGGACGAAAAGACAACTAATTGACGGGTAAGAATTTGTAATGCTTCCCTGCAGGAATGTGACATTAGAAGTAAATTAGCCAACCTTTGTCTTGCTTTACTTCCTTTTCTTTTGTCCTTAGACAGTTGTATGACTGCAATCCTGTTGGTAAACGCTGGTAAACATTTTGCATTCCACATTCCTTGCAGGTATAGTCAGTTCAGCTGTGTCATTTCCTTATTGTTGTATTTTTCTGTTTCTTCTCCTATTCTGCTTTTTGTTGCATAAGGCATCAACTTTGGGAAAATTATAATAAAAATTCTTCAGTGGACATTCTCCTGATTGTTTTTACCTTCTATCTCTTTGTCATCCGACCTTAATTTGTCCATTACTGTCTTGTTTGAAATGTCTGCTCCTAGTCCACTCTGTTTGCCAAAAAAGTGATTGGAATGATGCTTTTTGAATCAAAGAAAAAGAAATGCAGCTGTTTTTTCCAACGGATAAAACTGGGTGAGCAACCGAGCATTTAAGCTCAAGATTGCCTTTTTTACTGTGAAATGTGGTTTTCCAGATAACTGAGTCATGAGGGAAGA